AAGTTGGAGGGACTAGGTGTCTTGCATTATATGATCATATTCATATATATATATACACACATGCATAAATTTTATATTAATATTATTAATTTAATAAAAATGTATATATGTATGATCTGCATTTTCATACATGTATGGAATGGAAATAAAATTCATATATATATATATATATATAAAATGGTGGTTTTGAATCATTAAGTTGTTCAGTTGAGTTTTTGTGAAATTTTCATTTTTCTTCAGAGAGCTTTTGAAATCCTCAAAATAAATATGAATGGAAAACAATTTACCTAGAAAGCCATCAGTCAAATCATATATTTTAAAAATTCACTTGTCAGATCTTTAAAATCATCAATTGCTCCAAGTTATTTAAAAGAAAACTTGTACATATCATTCAAAATTAAAATTCCAAACTTTTAATTGATTTTCTACATAGTACTTTTGTCCAAATCTACTAATATTTATTTGATGATTTTATCAATGTTCTTTATCCTATTGATAAATTTGTGACTTTCTGCATTTGACTGAGAAAATTCTATAATAGTAATTCTTTCAGCAACAGTATAAGAAGAACAAATTCTTTTTGTCATTATAAAAAAACTGTGAATTTGGAAATTTTATTAATGATTGTTTCTGAGATATTGTCACCAGTCATAATTATACTCTCATGTAACAAGATATTATAGGTAAGTCAGTTATATATTATCAAATTCTCTTTAATATTTATTTAATATTCAATCATTAATGCTCTCTTTCTAATTAATATCTCTTGTACTAACTACCTTGATATTTATTCATTAATGTTAAACATTCATATCTTTTTTACAAATTATTATCTCTTACAATACTTCTCCAATTAATGAAAGTATAATAATTCTGCTGAATAAATTAATCATTACCTCTTGTAATAGTTCCACTTGTGATCCTTTCTTTAATAATTAAATGATTGTTAATAACCATAGTGGTATGAGACAAGCATATAAATGAGGATTAATATGAATACTAATATTTTTAATAGTTTATTACAAGAGTTCTCTTGAACAAATAAGCATGGATAAGTGATCAGTAATAGAATAAAGATATCATGAACAATGACCTTTTTATGGAACTGAAGAGTGAAATTTCCAATGGTAAGATTAATTTGATCAGTCATTGTAATGGCGCAAGTCACCTAGTCCCGCAACTTACTGCACCTCGTGGCCAATTTTGGGAAAAATCATCAAATCTCGGAATGTTCAAAAATTTTGTATCACGTGATTTTTGATGGTGGTATAAATTAAAAAAAAAAAAAAATTTTCCGTTTAAATATTTATATATTAATATATATATATAACGTTATAACGTTGCTAAAAAAAAGTTTCCTTCTTCACTTGAAGAAGCCAACGCTCCTGCGGAGAGCATTCTTTGAGAGCTTTGCCCTCAAAGAATTTTCAGACACCATGCATTTTCCATATTAAATAGATTAATTGTCATCTCTCATCTTTCCTTTTTTCTGATATAACTAGTGTATTATTGTTACATGCTTATACTATCTAATAAATCATATGTACATATCTTTATTTACATTGTAAAAATCAAATCACAGATACCATTTGGCACTACTTGCTCAACCATTGCAATTTTTTGGTCTATTTATATGTTTTTGTAGTAATTTATTAGACTACTCGATCAATGCATCATTTGGCCATAAAATAGTCTATTTTATGAAAAATTACATCATTGTGCAAAAGGATGCTAGGATGTTTCGCATCCAACTATTCAAAAGAATAATTCATCTTTTCGTTATTGCTAAATTTAGAAATGATTGTCGAGCCTAGTCTAAATTTAGTAAAGATATTAGCGGCATTTCATCGTGAACATTGTAAACTTGTGCAACTTTGAGCCCTTCTAACTGCGTAATGCTGTGACATATCAACAAAATGAAATCGCAACTTTGTAGAGAAAGGTCTTGGCTTCAAAATTACGGCTTATTTTTTTGGTGTTACGTTTCCAGTTTTGGAGTTAGAGAAGGATCTACAAGGCCAATAAAAAGTTGTGGGACTAGGTGTCTCGCACTATACAAATTTAGAAAGCATTCGCAGAAAAAGACCAACGTGTAACGTATCATCGCAGTGTCCCTGCATTTTATAAACTATAATTGTTATTTTTAAAAAAAAATTGAGTAATGATTCGTGGCCATGATTTGAAATTTAATTAAGCCGAGGTCATGATCCAGCTGTTTTTACCAGCTGAAGTTTTAAAATTTTTGTCTATTTGAAAATGTCAATATTAGATGATTTAAGATTGATTCAGCCATGTCCATACAGAATGTAAAATATTCGTCCGTTACACAGCACAATTTTCAAAAAAACATTGGAAAATTAAATGTTTGATGTACACGAATGGATAGAAAAAATGGTGCCAAATTTTAATCTTACTTAATCAAAATTTTTATGTTTGTTGTACTCTTGTTTTGTTTTTTCTTTTTACAATTTAAAAAAGTTTTTTAATTCATTCATTGAAGAATCTTTGTAACACTAATTTCCTAAAAAAGAATTTACAATATATCCCAGGCTTTATTATATTTATCAGGTAGGTCCTATGTAATCACTGCCAGAAATAAACAAACTTATTTTTGCAACTTTATATTATAATCATGTGATACAATCAGTTTATCGTTTAATAATAAGAATATATTTGAATTGAAGAAAAAAAAATTTTTCTGCCAGTAATACGTCGGACCAACCTAATAATTCATTTATCAGGTAGGTATCGGATACCTATAGGCAATATCCTTTTTTTCACGTGCCCAAAGGACACGTGAAAAACATATTGACCTACAGATCAGGTAGGTAGGTATCTGTCGATACCTACCTGATAACAAGAACTATTCCGGGACCCTAGTAGAAGTGGAAAAATTATATTAGATAGAATCATTTTAACCATATTTAGTATCTCATTTAATGAATAGACTAGACCAAAATTCGTTGGTCTCAATGGACCCGGTTTATATTTGATGATCCTACTATAATTGATGGATGAAGTTGCTGCGATGTGAATGAACTTTCAATACTCGTTCAAAAAAAATTAGATCTGGTACACTGTGGACAAATTTTGCCGTCACATTATGATTTGATATAACCATTTCTGTACTGTTTACTAAGAAACAAAAAAAAATTTTTTATATTTGAAAATCATTGGCAGAATTTTCTTGAAAATATTTGGAGTTTTTCGGGAGATTCATGATATTTTACTGCAGTGACATCAGTTACAACGTACCCGTTAATGTGATGCATAAAGATTACAAGATTGAAATCTGCTTGCTACAATCATAGGGCTCGTACAAGAACATTGCAGGCTGTGGCTTTTCTGTGATTGGCCATATTACTTGCAGAGTGAAATTGCTTATAAAAATTCTATAAACCCAAATCAGGTAGCTTTTCTTGGAAAAAAATTTTTTCTACAAGGAGAAAAGAATATTAATTATTATTATTATTATATTGTATATTCAAAGCCTTTAACAAAGCGATGATTTAATAAACATTATTGGGGCACTTTGTGTAACTAGTTATTATCTTTCGCAATCAATGCCCCAGGTTAGAGAGAATTTGTTATCCATCAAAAAAAATTTTTGCCTAAAATATATTAACAATGAATGTAACAATGAAATTAAACTTTAAAAATTTTTACAAAGTTTATTATTATGATTTATATTGAAAAAAACTTTCAATAATAAATGAATTATCATCATCATCTTATTAATTTACATTGTCAAAAAATCGTAAAGAACCACGGGCCAACATAAATTACTGAATGTGATAAATCAAGATGAAGTAATCAAAGATGATAGAAACGAATTAATAAAAGAATTGAAGTTTATTGTGCATTGATAATTTACAACATAACACAACATATATCTATTTATCTCGATATTAATTACGAAACTGCAAGTCTTATTGAATGATCATTTAAGGAAAAAAGGATGCGGGTGTTTATTTGTTTTAATTTTTCCTTTTAAAGATCAAAGGCTCTCAGCAAAAAAAAACGTGAGAATTCTAATTTATTTATATATATTGAACTATGAAGAAACATCTTTGAGAATATGAACAGAAAAAAGTTTCTTCTCCAAATATCGAATTGATAAGTTAAGGAATTCTTTAAAATGAATTAAGGTAATGATAATAATGATGATAATAATTAGTTGCAATGTTTTATTACTAATTATTATTATTTTTTTCTTACCAAAGAACGTTAATAATATACATACGTATTTAAGTATGTATGCAAGGTAAATAAATATTCACATCTATGAAATTATCATCTTTGTTATCATTATTATAATAAAATAAAATGAAATAAAATAAAATAAAATAAAATAAAACATATTTCAACGGGTACAATTATAATTTTTATCGAAGTTGTTAATTTAATCACGTAAATTCTATAAAGTCCAGATTTAATTGTAATTTTTTAAAAAAAATCATTAAAAATTATCTATAATTTATTTTTTTAGGTAAATCTTGGGTACGACAAATAAATAATCAATATATATATTATTATCTTTTTTCTCATTAAGATTATTATAGGATAGATTTCTTTATTTTTTTTTTTTCGTATCATTATTATGTTTTTATTATATATTTTTCTTGATAAAATTTTAATCAAAATTCGTTGATTATATTGTGCACAAACAAATTTTTCGTCGTCGATTTTTCGTCAATATTTTATATGCGCGTAGAGAGATTGAAAAAAAAATTTATGATTTTTTATTTTTTATTTTTTTTTTGATTCTTTTATATATATTTTTTTTTTCCTGATTCTTTTTTTATTATGGACTTTTCTTTTTCCTCAATAAATATATATTTAATATATACTATGTATATAAATTATTTTTTCATGATAATCGTGAATTCGAAATTTTGTTTGCTTGATGATCACTAGTTGTATTACCTAGAATTTTTAGCTATCACACAAAAAATACAAAGCCAATTAGAATCCAGTGTCATTCAAAAAAATTTTTAAAAATGTCTAGTGGATCTAACAATTCTGGGTTTGATGGTTTTTTGCCTGGGAGAACTACCGCTACTCAGGCTATAAAAGTTGAAGAAGGTGAAATTAATCCTTTTAACGGCAAACCATATAGTAAAAGATATCGTCAACTACTAGAAAACAGACGAAAGTTACCCGTACATCAACAAAGACAAGAATTTCTCGACTTAATACAAAGTAATCAATTCATAGTATTTGTAGGCGAAACCGGCTCTGGAAAGACAACACAGTAAGCATTCTCTCTACTCTCAAATCAATTTAAAATATTTTACCTATTTACTTTTCGTTTTTTCTTTTTTTTTAGGATTCCACAATTTCTCTGTTACGATTTACTTCCTCACATAAAAAAGAAACAAATAGCATGCACTCAACCACGTAGGGTTGCCGCAATGTCAGTAGCTCAACGTGTGGCAGACGAAATGGATTTCAAACTTGGTGAAGAAGTTGGTTATAACATACGTTTTGAAGATTGTTCTGGCCCAAAAACCATTCTTAAATATTTAACTGATGGTATGCTTCTACGCGAAGCAATGAATGATCCAAATTTAGAAAGATACTCTGCTATTATTCTTGACGAAGCACATGAACGCACATTAGCGACTGATATTTTAATGGGATTGATGAAAAAGGTTAGCGCTATTACAATTCAATAAAGAATCAATTACTTCTTACACAGTATATTTATTTATGTAAACGAAATTTTTGGGTATTAAAATTTATTTATTCAATTAAAAGATAGTAAAAAAACGTAAAGATTTAAAGGTTGTTGTAATGAGTGCAACACTTGATGCTGAAAAATTCAAAGGATATTTCAATAATTCTCGAGTATTGGTAGATTATTATTATCATTATCATCATCATCATCATTATTATCATTGTTGCAATTAATAATATCTGTTGTATTAATATTTACAATATTTACTCTGGAAAAAACAAAGACTGTTCCTGGTAGAACATTTCCGGTAGAAATTTATTATACACCTCAACCAGAACGTGATTATTTGGAAGCTGCTATTCGTACAGTTATTCAAATTCATGTATCTGAGGACCCTGGTGATGTGCTATTGTTTCTAACGGGAGAGGAAGAGATTGAAAGTGCTTGTCAAAAGATCAAAAATGAAATAGATACTTTATCAAAACAAGTTGATCTAGGTCCTTTGAAAGTTCTTCCTCTCTATTCTACTTTACCACCTCAACAGCAACAGCGTATTTTTGAAGATCCTCCCCAACCTCTTAAAAAAGATGGAAAGGCTGGTCGTAAGGTTATTGTCTCTACAAACATTGCAGAAACTTCATTAACCATAGATGGAATTGTTTATGTAGTTGATCCTGGCTTTAGCAAACAAAAGGTTTACAATCCTCGTATTCGTGTTGAATCACTACTTGTAAGTCCTATTAGCAAGGCTTCTGCTCAGCAAAGAGCCGGTCGTGCTGGTCGTACACGTCCTGGAAAATGCTTTCGTCTTTACACTGAGAAAGCATTCAAAAAGGAATTACAAGAACAGACATATCCAGAAATTTTAAGAAGTAATCTAGGTTTGCTATTAATCATTATCCTTATTGTTACATCATTACTACATCTTTATTAGCTGTTATTGTTACTTCTATTGCTATTATTTTTATTTGGATTATGCTGTTATTATTTATAATATTGTTACTATTATTACATTAGGTAGTGTTGTTCTCCAATTAAAGAAATTAGGCATTGATGATCTAGTACATTTTGACTTTATGGATCCTCCAGGTAAAATAATCTTTCATTAAAACCATATATAATGTTATATGATATAAGTGCATTAATTTATTGATCGATTGCCCTTTTCTTTAATATAAAACATGTGTGTATTTAATAGCTCCTGAAACTTTAATGCGTGCACTGGAACTTTTAAATTATCTTGGCGCACTTGATGATGAGGGAGAACTTACTGCTGATGGACATTTAATGGCAGAATTTCCTCTCGATCCTCAATTAGCAAAAATGTTGATAGAAAGCCCTAAATTTAAATGTTCAAATGAAATTTTATCAATTGCTGCGCTTTTATCAGGTTTTTAAAGATTCCTTGTTCCTTTTTAATAGGTTATTATTAAAAACTGATTGATAATTTTATATTATAAAGTTCCTAATGTGTTTGTGCGTCCAAGCGATCTGAAGAAACAAGCTGAAGAATCAAAATCAAAATTTGCCCACGCTGAAGGCGATCACCTAACTTTATTAAATGTTTATCATGCTTACAAAACTAGTGAGTAGTTTTATTTAATATTATATATATTTTTATGTATGTATTTGTTTGTTTAGTTTTACCATTACTGCTTAACCTATAGAAAATTTTTTTTTGGTATTTAGATAGCGATGACCCAAATTGGTGCCGTGACAATTTTCTTAGTTCTAGGTCTTTAAAATCTGCTGATAATGTACGTCAACAACTTAAACGTATTATGGAACGATGTGATTCTGATCTGGTCAGTACTCCATTCGAAAACAAAAATTATTATTCGAATATTAGGCAGGCTTTGACAGCAGGCTTCTTCATGCAAGTAGCTCATTTAGAGAAATCTGGTCATTATTTAACAGTAAAAGATAACCAAGTTAGTATATATTTTTTTAACAGTAGGAGATATATATAATAATTTAAATGTTTTATTAATAACAATATATTCTTATTAATATTACTATTATTTAAGGTTGTGCAACTCCATCCTTCTTCAACCCTTGGTCATAAACCTGAGTGGGTCATATATAACGAATTTGTTCTTACCACTAAAAATTATATACGTACTGTTACTGAAGTAAAAGCAGAATGGTATGTAGATTTTCTAATATATTTATAATACATGAATACATGTATATATATAATAATAAAAAATTTTTAAATAAAAAAAAGGCTTTTGGATATTGCACCTCAATATTATGATCTATCCAATTTCCCCAACTGTGAAGGAAAACGAGAACTAGAAAGGATTAAATTGCGAAGATCTAGGAAAAAATAACGGTCTTGAACAAGGTAACCATATTTTTTGTATATTATTATTGTAAAAAAGTTTTTTTTTATGTTTGATAATGTTTTTTTATAGCTGTTTATTTCTCAACACATTAAGAAATTTTATGATTAACTTTAACCATTTATTTAATATAATAATGGTTACTAAATTCAGAATTTCTCAATTTTTGTTATTATTTTAATTTTATTTAATTTATTTTTATTTTTTTTGCAAAACTAACAACTTTTCTCGTTCCCGAAAACTTTATTAGAAAGATATAAAAGTAAATAAAAAATTTTTATTTCATGTTTCTATACCAATCACTTTACTCAATCATACCTATAATGTTTAAATAGTCATTTATGAATTATATTTTTATTAAGAGTTTTTTAAAGGTACATAATTTTTGTCACGAGTTTAGATCAATAATCGCCACTACCATTTTTTTTAAAAAGCTTTTAATTCGTGGCCCGCCAATTGATGATGGAAATTCATTAATAAAAACCGGGAGGATCATCATTAATGTAATTAATAAATGTATTGAGTGACATATTATAAAAGTTTTGTAGAAATTATACCTTTGGAGAGGTTTTTTTTCATTATATTAAAATAAATAGTTTACTTCGGAGAAGCTACGGATTCCGGCATAAAACCTATATTAATATTAATATTAATATGTTATTAATGTTAATATAATTTTTTTTAATTCAATGTATAGTTCGAAATTTTTTTCTATACATTACTATTAGTAGTAATGTTTTCAAATTAAAGTGTTTTCAATGACATTCATTATTATGAACCCTAAATATAAGTTTTCCTATAGTTACTTGACAATAAAATATCTTAATAATATTCAGAAGTTCTTTGATTTATAGCTTGTTTTTGGTGTTCTGGCTTTACAGCAGTATAATGTTGAATAGATTCTACTTTTAGGAAATATTTCACCATTTTTATTAATTCTGCATTGGGGTGTCTCACATCATATGATTTACAAACATAGTTGATCACATATATTTTCATTAATAAGGATTTTTTAGAGGTTTTGCGGATTTATTATTATTTTTTTGGTGCCACAAAAAATTTTTAAATTTATTATACAAATTGGCAAACTTCGCACAATTACAAAACTCAAAATAACTCTTAAACTATATGTCATATTCAAATAAAAAT